AAAAAAAAGATATCACTTTTTTTTCAGGTTCAACTAAACAGCTAGGGTTTGCAAGGACCCCCAAACCATGGGACTGGTTGGAAGGCTGTTGTCCGTTGGTTCCAGTGTCAACCAGGAAACTGTTTTGGTTCATGTGCCAAGAAAAGCTGTCAGCCAGCTATCAGAATGAATAGAAGCTTGGGTCTGCAAGAACTATCTAAAGCTATGGGCTTTCTGTGGAGTTCTTCTTTTGAGGGATTATTGCATACAAACTGATATACTGCCTTGGCATTCACAGCAGAAGGGGTGGTCAAACGTATTGCTCACACCTCCACTCATCTACACAGTCTACACTCATCTACACGCAGAAAAATTGGATGAATCAAGGATATATCCCTATAGGGCTCTAACTACCTCCTGGGAAGGTGGTTGGGGTGGGTTTGGGGGGTCTAACCACCTTCTGAGGATATGGGCCAGGAGCCCTAGGGTATAAAAGCGACTGAATGAAGACTGGATTCCTCGAAGCAACGGAGAAAGGGAGGGTTCACATCCGGACGAGACCGAATTTTGCGACTCTCCGCCCGATTCCAAACTTGGTCAACTGCACAATGGCTTACTATGGTTTACTATTATTTCTGGGATATGTTCACTTTAGAGTATTGGTTACACTTTGCTAGACTAATGGAACATATGAATGTGCGAATGTACTGGTTTTTCTTGCTCTGAGCCTGTGCCTTGAGAACGGACTTGATACAAGCAGGACATTTCGTCAGCGAAGTTGCTGTCACGGACGCCATTTCCGGTTTCAACGGTTTCACTGTTTGTGTTTGTGCCAGCTGACGTCGACTGCAGTGGTGCACTTTTCGGACTCCAATGGTCAACCCATATATGTCCATGGATGATGTTGGGAATTGAAAAGGAACATCAGCACCGGCACTCATAGCCCTTGAGTATGTTGTCCATATATGTCCATGGACCGGAACCCTACTCATATATCTCCATAGACCCTTGAGTATGTTGTCGGGTTCCGTTCCTCCATAGACCTTCCATAAACCTGCAACGTCCTGCAAGCAAAGTAGCTGAGGGAAGATGTCCGTTGTGCTTGGTCCTCTATCATTTGACACTAGGACATGCGTTTTGGACCATCATTTTATGGAGTGATCTGTTTTACAGTTTTTTTGTGGAACGTTTGACGGCATTTTATGGAGGTTGTTCTTGTCTGTTTGGTAGCCTTTCTTAGCATGCCTTGTGAAGCCGTGCCGGCATTTTGTAAAGGAGCGGCATGCCGTGACATAGAGACCTGCTTTGGCATTTTTACAGGCTGCCCTTGTCTACCCTTTAAGTGAGCTTTTGCTGCAGCATCTGGCTTGGCCTATAGAAAGACCGCCAGTCATTCTGTAGAGATTCTACCTCTTGCCGCCCATTCTATAATATTCATTCAATTTCATTCCTAGCACTTCCAATGCGGGCCCAATGGAGGCCGGTAAGTAAGGTAGGGTAGTCTATTGGACACCCATTGGATGACATTCTATAGACCATTTCTCTATAAAATGCCCGGCAATGACCCCAGTGGCACGGACCCTCGATCGAATCGCAGACAAGGTATGCTTCCAGGAGACATTTTGTAAATACATTGTATACACTGTAATTTTATACACTTGCACCTGTTTTTGCCTATGATACACGTACGGTACGTACATGAAAAACCGTACTTGGGCCAGTCCGGGTCATTCGAAACTCGATGAAGAGTCGAGTCGAGTCTCGAAACCGCCCGCTCTCCCCCCCCGGAGAGTCCGCTCGTTCTGCCCCCAGGATCACTTTACACGAAACCTCTACAACTTTGCCCAGGTCGCCGGCCTCCCCAGCATCGAACGGAGTAGAGGTTGAGTAGACGGGTCCACGACGCAGAATGACACCGGAGGTTTGATTCCTTTTTCCGTTGAAACAAGCCGAGCGGTTGAAATTTTACGGTGGGCTTCAGTAGATTTGACACAATTACCACTGGAGCTTGCCATGGGTTTCAGTGGTAAGGGGGGGGTTGAACCGTCCCGGTCGCCGGAGAAACCCAGAAAGTCCAAAAGGGTAGAGAGTCCAAACAGCTCGCTTTGGTCGTAAGAGGCCGCAAAGCTCGCGCTTTTGTACACGCTTTGGTGAGTCGGAGGTTAGTACGTGGTGTAATCAGAGGGGCATGATCATCAGGGCATGAAGAACTGGACATGAAGAAACTACCAGCACCTTCAAAGGGGTCACCAATGGAAGCCCCTACACTACTGCTGTGATGAGCAAGTATATAAGTATTTTCGATAGATGATGAACACATGAACTAATCTACAGGTGGCTTGAGGCTCAGCCAGCAAATCAAACGTTCCTGGCAAATCTTTTGCCAGACAAGAAGTTGCCTGTTTGTATTTTTGTAGCAGTGAGAGGCGAGAGGGATCAATGATGTCTACTTGTAGTCGTTGTCAACACAGGCTTCCCAAACATAGGAATCTGGTCAAGGGGTTTCGTTTCTTCAACCAGCAACAGACAGACCAGAACCAGCGACAGACCAGAGATGCATGTAAAACTCGTGTCGGCTTTTCAACGGTCTTGCGCACTCGGCCGGTTGATCCCACCAAGCCCTGTTGAACTGCAAATCCGCCCAATCCGCGCATGTTTCCGCGAGGTAGGTCCGTAGGTCAGTAAGTCCTGTATACGGGAATATGAAGAGATCGAACTCTCACAACCCACTAGGGGATAGAAGAATAGAAGAATTGTGGAATCAAATCAGCTTGTAGTATCTTGTAGTTTAGGTTTATGGGACCCTTTTAGGAATGACTCATCCCCCGACCAAGGCAGTTTCTCCTTTGGTTGGAGTATTTTCGGGGTCTTGCATGGACCAGGCACACTCATCAAATATGTATAAAAGAGAGCAGGGTTTGGCCTCCTGTTGACATGTGGTGGTCTACATCAAAACCAACCGCACGTTTTGCCATGCAGATTGGCCCCTGTTGTTGTGGTTGTTGTTGCTGTTCAAACATGTTCAAACATGCCTTCCATGGAAGACCTCTCGTTCGTCGCATTGGACGACTGGACTGAGGTGCGCACTTTGTCCTAATCGACGACGGTCGAGCCTTTTCAGGGCGCGAACCAGCCGGGCCAAGCCCACCGACGGTCGATGAGCAGAATGAGCTTCCGCTTGGTAGTGATGTGAAAGCAGTCGAACGAAGAAGCACTGCAGTCGAAAAGAATATGTGTTTCCCCATGTTTTTCCTTCCCGCAAAAACCCTGCAAGCCTGACGTGTTCTAAACGGCAAGACGGAGAGCAAAACTGGATTCCACGGACCGCAGAGATTGATTGTGAGCGACGTGTCAGGATCTATGCCTTAGTCAAGACTCTATCGACTAATATCTATAGTCTTAAGCTTTAAAGGTCATGTCTTTAAAGGTCATGTCTTCTGGTCAAACCGGCTGATCGAATCTATGGACCGTTTCGGTCAGAGACCTGGTGCCCTGTTTGAAAAAACGGTTCATTTTGCCTGTCATGACTGGACCAAGCAGCGGTGAGGGTACCGGATCCCGGTCCCAACTGTGCCCGAAAAGAGGTTCGGAACGCAGCGTCCCTTCGAAAGGATCTTGGCTGTTGCTTCGGATGGAAGGAAGCTCAAGGTAGTAGGTGTTGAATTGGCTTGCCTTGCTCGGAAGATGCGGCCTTCGCAAGTCTAAATTAAACCACTTATGTGATGGCCACAAGATGCCCACTGTCATAAGTGCAGATGAGGTAAATGATGGTGTTGGTGTCTTTTCTTTAAAAAAGATCATAGGCGACCGCTTTCGATGATTTTTCACCTTTTCAGAATTCTGACGCCTTTGCCCTGTTTGATTCCGCACAGAAAGTTTGGCCATTGCAGGATTCTTAGCGGTTTTGTGAGCCCACGAGAACGCGCGGTGTGACTGGGCGGTTTAGACTCGTTCGTGTGAGAGACCGCGGTGCAAAAGGGACGTCAAAAGGGCGCATGCGAAACCTGTTGGCTTGGGATCTGGACGAATTTCGAGACCTGATCGCCCCTTTCAGGACGAAGGGACAGGCACAACGATGGGAGGCGAGACTTTCGAAGCCTGACAGGTCAGTTTTTCGACCAAACAAGATCAAAGAAGCATGCGTTTGTGGAGTTCTTGGGCTTCTGGATGCGGTTTTGAGGGGAGGGAGAAAAATCTCAAGTTCAGCCCAAAGAACGTGTGTGATGTGATCTTAAATATTAAGTTATATGCAAACCACCGTTAATTCAGTTCAATAGCTTGCACCAAACAAACACGTTTTACTAGGGGGTTTTACTACATGGTCTTGGAAGCCTAGGGTGCCTCTTCCCTAGTTGCTACAGGCAGAAGTTTGCTTCCTTGGGTACCATTCCAAGAAGACCGGCCACTCTGCGCAAGACCGGCGCCTTTGCTCGAGCCACGCAGGTGTGTCGACACCTGGATCGGCTTTATCAGCAAACGGCGCGCCGGCGATGTGGCGTTGTTGTTGCCGAGAGGTACGGCTTGAGAGGTACGACACCCTATTTTAGGTCGCCTTTTTAATCCAATGGTATCTCGGTGACAGGAACGCACGACCTCCATGCAATCCCCCAGTGTCACTTCTTCAATGGATATGAACAAAGAACATGGGGAGGTCCAGAAGCGGAGCTTGGCTGGTAATGACTACTTCTCTTTGGACTGGTACCCTCATATGACTTCTTATCAGAGTGACTGGAATGTTGATCTAGGTCTGACGGATGTATGTCAGATGGTATGTCAGATGGTATGTGAGGCTACTGCATTGGCAAACTGTCTAGAAGGGCGAAACACAGAGTATCTCATTGTATGTGAGGCATGATGTCATGGCAGTGGGTCGGATCTCCCCGGGTTGAAAACTGGGCGAGGTCATTATCAGAACAGACTACTTAAAGGAGGTCATCTTATCAGGAACGGGCTCCAGTTTTTGACCTACAGCTAAACCCCACACGTCTGCCTCAGACGAGTTCTTTTTGTTGTGCCGAACCCATACGTCTGAAAACTCGGTGTCAGACCTGGATGCCCTGTATGAAAAACGCGGGGCACAACACCGCTGACTTGGACAGATCAACCAAAAAACGCGGGGGAAGGCAGCTGGTCAGATTTTTCGGAAGGCCAGACGACATTTTTCGACTGACTCGTGCGATTGACTGGTGTAGGGAATGCGCGAAGGAACGCCCCCATGTCTGACTCCGGATCCCACGCGAAGAGGCCCGTCGCACCCGTCGTACGTGGGTCCACCGGGTCGAACGAGTGACATGCGCCTGCACAGGTGGCCACCGAGACCACTGGAGCGGCTCAGGTGGGACGAGACTTGTGAGGATCGTGGCTGGTGATTCTTTTGCTTTTGGAGCGTATCTCAAAATAGGATCCTGGCCAATTGGATAAAAAAGGGGTTCTTGCGCTATGATCATTGCAGATGATCTCCTACCCAGTAGCAGTCCTTCTCAAGACCCACTGGTTATTTGGGGAATGCCCAGCTGTTTGTTTCTCGAAGGAATTAACGAGTCACCCAAACCAATAAAACAGAATCTCAGTTCTACAGTTGATGGATGAGTGCTCCTGCATTCCACACACACACACCCATTTGACCCTGCATTAATACCATATTCAAAGCATTGGAAGGGAAAGCTCCGATCAACTGCCACACACCTGGTTGATGAGCTACACCCTAGAAGAACATGTCAAGCTGCACAATTGTGGTATCAGATCTTCACCAGTGGTTTTCAGGTTCCATGTGGGTCTCTTCCCAGGTCTTTCATCCAATGTTTTTCTGGGTTCAAAAAGGGACGTCATCCAGATCTGCGCCCTCCCCGCCAGATCGCTTCGCTCTTGGCTGATGGGCGGCAGCTGGTCGAACACCACCTGCGCGGTTCACCCAGCTCGGGTGTAGCATATGGCGGCCCCTATCGGGTGTAGCCGGTGTGGGCCAACTGAACCAGCAACAGTTGGGAAACGATAGTAAAGGATTTATCACGAAACAGTTGAGATTTCGGCCTGCAACTGAACCATCATCATCCACAGGGCCCTGCATGGTAATTCATGGGGCATTGATATACCAATTCATGTCGATGTTTGGATCACCTTTACTCCTTATTTGTTCGGATAGACACGCAACAGGATCCAATTTGCCGATGAGTTGGGTGGCATGTCCTCGATCCCCAAAAAGATGAACATGATGCAGCAACTAACTAAGATATACTAAGATTGTGGAAGTTGAGCATGTTGACCAAACCAAGGTTCAGTGACAATCACCGCTTGCTCGTCGTTTGTATAGGTTTGATCTCCGTCACTCACTCAGGCCCGAGGGGCTTTATCCCGCAGGTGAAACGATGTGTTTCGAGAGTGTGCCGCGCCACTGTGGGTAATCTACAGTGGTAGCGGAGCACTCGGATGCCCGAAGACCAGGTCAGCAATGGCGCGGCCGGTGCCAGCGGCGCGGAGGCGCCGATGTGGAGAGACCGAGATCCTCCACCCAACTTCGACGGCGATGTCGAGGGCTTCAATCAGTATGTGAGGGATCTCAAGCTCTGGCGTCACGATACGGATGTGCCGGAGCGCAAGCACGGTGTGAAGGTTCTGAGAGGACTTTCAGGACAGGCGAAGGCAATCTGCAATGAACTCTCCGTGGAAGAACTGACCTCCACGGGGAGCGTTGATCTGATTTTGGCAAAGTTGCGAGAGCACTACTCCCCCCATCTTGAGACCACCATGCCGAAGGCTTTCGAGAAAGCAGTGTACGGAGAACCCAGGAAGCCCAAGGAGAGCATCTGCGACTTCGTGATCAGGCAAGATGCTGCATTTCGTGAACTACATGAAGAAGGAGTTCAGCTTTCTGATGAAGTGAAAGGGTACATACTGTACCGACAGAGCAATCTGACCCAAGTACAAGAAGATCAGATCACTACCTGGACTCAAGGCAAGTTCGCCCGATCTGACGTGGTGAAAGCCCTGAGGAAACTTGAGAAGATTCAGAAGGAAAAGCCGGGCAGCCGCTACATGACTGTCGAGGATGAGACATTCATGACCGAGCCCATCGAGGGTGGCAGCGATGACAGCGGCGACTACGTGTACCTGGGTGAGGACGATCTGAACCACATATATGAAGAGGAGGAGATCCAAGAAGCTCTTGCGACGTATCAACAAGTTCGCAAGGCCATCCAGGAGCAGAAGAACAATCGTGGCTACTATGGGCCAGGTGTCAGCGGAAAAGGGTTAGGAAAGTCCTCCAAAGGGAAGACGTCCATCAAGTTCTCTAGCAAAGGCACGAAAGTGCACGTGGACCTGCTTAAGCTTCGCACGAAGTGCGCAAGATGTGGACAGGTGGGTCACTGGGCCAAAGAATGCATCAATGAGCCGGATGCGAGAGCAAAGAACAGGGCGGCGGCTTCATCCACGGGTACGTCATCCCCCAAAGCTGGGTTCTTTGAGGTTGGGGAGCACACCACCATGAATGTCAACGACACCTACCAGGTCACCCTTGGTCAGTTCATCAAGAAGGGACAGAATCGTTCGTCGTTCGTGGGTTTGACCACCAGTTCACATGTTGGCATCATTGACACTGCTGCCCAAGGGGGTCTCATTGGAAGGAGGGCTCTTGATCGACTCGGCGAAGAACTCCGCAAACATAGGTTGAAGGTTCAGTGGTCAACCAAGCAAGCACAAGCACGTGGCATAGGAGGTGAAGCTCGAGTCGTCGGCGTCGTCGAGATTCCGGTCGGCATCGCAGGGGTGAACGGACTCATTGAAGCAACCGTCGTTGAAGAAGATGTTCCTTTTTTGCTTTCCATCAAGTTCCTTCAACAAGTCAAAGCCACTATCAGTTTGTCCGAACAGGAGTTGCACCTCGGAGCTTTCGGTCGTTCGACCAAATTGCAAGAGATGCCAACCGGCCATGTTGCAGTGGATGTTTTGCAATTTGAGGCGCAGGGATGGTCTCTGCCAACTTCAGTTCCTTTGTTTGAAGAGCGAAAGAATGGGTTTCATTTTTTGTCGACGGCACCTTTAGGGCTCAACAGTTCGTTCATGTGGAACAGCACCAAGCCTCACCTTCGGCTCGGAAGCATCGCCGATGGATCTCTTCAATCGCATGGTCAAGATCGAGCAAATGGCTTCGAGATCCAATGCGGCAAGCTCAGCCTCGCCACACAGCCCCGAGCGCGCCACAGCTCACTGGCGCACAGTGATGGAAAAGGTGGCCGAAGTCATGGAGCTGGCAAGAGCTCAGGCCAGAGTCAAAGGCTGGCAGGAAGATGGATTCGAGCTTGGCTCGCGTGTGCCATCGTCAGCTGTCAGTGCACCCCCAGCATCGGCATACTCCTCACCGCCGGCAACCACAGTCATGCCGACCTCAAAGGAAATGGCCTATGCGGAGATGATCAAGCAGGGCAACTATCTGGGACTTCGCAAGTGCAAGAATCCGCCTTCCACCTCCGTGGAGATGTGCTCTCACCATCCGACCTTTTTGGTGGGTGCGGGAAATCAGACACAGAGAGAAGTCTGGTGCAAGCAGTGCCATGCTCGCTGGCTGGTGGATCCACAAGCCATGAAACAAGTTCAGTCCAAGACGCCAGTGGTGCAGGTGGGAAACACCACGATTCAAATGCATCCAGGACTACCAGCACCGACCTGCAGCATCAGGGCACCCATCATGCCGCAGCAGGACATGAACCCTCCTCGGACTCCACCAAGGAAGCAGGCATCTCCTCCAGTGACTCCAGTCAGAACCCCGTGGCCTCCCATGAGCTCTCTGGAGAGTCCACCTCCTCCAAGTTCACTGGCCGCCACTCCAGTGAAGATCACCCCACACAATGCGGTGACGTGCAAGTGCGGAGAGATGGCCACCCAGCTTCAGGTGAAGAAGTCAGGACCAACGCAAGGCCGATTGTTCTGGAAGTGCGCCCGAAGAGTGTGCGATTTCTTCGAAGGGGATCCGGAGGAAACCAAGAGACTCCAGGAGGAGCTGATGAAACGGGAGGAGGAGCGCAAAGCCCAGGAATTCGAACAAGTCATCGAGAAAGAGAAGAACGAAGTCATCAACCAGACGATGGCTATGGCAGAGCAGCGTCACCAGGCATTGATGTTGGATCAGCACGTCCGCCACGAGATGGAAAAGGAGACGCTTCAGAATTAACTCCTGTGGATGACAGCGCTGGTGGGAGAAGAAAAGATGGAACAAGCATTCCACGATCCGAAGATCCAGCAGGAAGCTGCGGAGAAGGCCATGACCTACCGCCAGATGATGATTCAGCAGGCATCAATGGCATCTGGATCGCAAGGGCCACAGCAGAGCGAGGGTCCGATGGAGGCCTCAGAAGCATCTTGGAAGATGATGTGAACGAGGTGGTGGAGGAGGAGAACCATCAAGAACCACCAGGAGTTCCCGATGAGAGGATGAGCTGCTGGATAAAGGAGAATGCCCCTCGGGTCTGCGAGTTGAAGAATGCGGCCCAGTGGAATTTGTGGGCCAAGAAGCAGATCGAAGAAGAAGAAGAACCATCATGGAGACGACAAGTGGCCTCACACTGGTGGTTGAAATATGAGCCACAAGGACGATGGCAGTTTCACCAAGGCATTTTGCCAAGTAAGGAAGCCTTTCCAAAGGAGGCCATGGCGATGGGCATTTTCATGGGAGAGCAATGGGAAGACCACCATGAGTCCGGGAAGGACAAGGCACTCTCCAAGGCCTCAAGAAAGGCAATTTTGAAACAGATGAAGAAGCTGACGGTGGCTGAGGTGTTTTCGCCTCCAAGAGTCACCACGGAAGCAAAGGAGATGGGACATCAAGAGGGTGGAGCATTTGATCTTCACACAGGATATGATCTGTCTCAGAGGAAAGACAGAGTGAGGTGCTGGCAAGAACTTCGACAAGCTGATCCCCATCTAGTCGTCATATGTCCTCCATGCTCACCCTTCTCATTGCTGCAAGAACTCAACCGAGGAAGGGTGCGACCTGAAGTGTGGCACCAAAGATTGAGCGAAGGACAAGAACATGTCAGCTTCGGCATGAAGATCTATGAGTGGCAAGTCAGAAGAGGAAGGCTTGCAATTTTTGAACATCCATCCACCTCCAAGGCTTGGCAGGAGCCATCAGTTCAGCGAGTGCTGAGCCTACCAGGAGTCCGAAGAATTCGAGCAGACCAGTGCCAGTACGGCCTAGCAGTCAAAGGAGAACCAAACAAGAAGCCCACGGACTTCATGGTCAACGGCGAAGCACTGGCAAGACATCTCAGCAAGAGATGCACTCATCAACATCGACATCAACCCTTGGTGGGAGGCATTGCCAGGTTCGCCCAAGAGTATCCAAAGAAACTCTGCCAGGCGATGATCAAGGGAGCTGAGGAAGACGCCACTCATCTGGAGATCTGGGCCGCCGAAGAAATCGAAGGAAGTGAGGCCCTAGAGAGAGCACTGGATGAGGACCTTGAAAGACAAGAAGGAATACATGTCAATGTGCATGCTCGCAGAGCACACCCCGAAGAAGAAAAGGGGCAAGATGATGAGGAAGACCCTACCGAATCCGGTCGAGGGCTGACCAGGCAGGAGAAGGCGATGATTCACAAGCTCCATTGCAACCTGGGACACCCAGGCAAGGCAGACTTCTGCAAGGCACTGAGGATGGCAAGAGCCCGAAGTGCAGTCTGGACCTATGTCAAGAATGAGTACAAGTGCGATGTATGTGAAGCACATCCTCGTCCCAAGAGTGCTCGCCCAGCAGCTCTGCCTAGGTCGTTCGAGCCCGCCAAGAACGTGGGCATTGATGTGGTCTTCTTTCCCGGCGTGGACGTGAGGACCACGAGGCCAGTGCTCAACATGGTAGACTGGGCCACCGGATTCCAACTTCTTGAACCACTCCAGAACATGCAATCAGACCACCTCTGGCAGACCTTCATGTCTACGTGGGTCAGAATCTTCGGAGTTCCAGAGTGCGTAGTGGTGGATCAGGGAAGAGAATTCGGAAAGGATTTCGCAGAAAAGCTCGGAGAAGCAGGAGCTGTCTTGAAGGTGATCGGGGCTCGAGCTCCATGGCAACAAGGAAGAACGGAAAGACACGGAGGACTGGCAAAGGAGATATTCACCAAGCTGAGGGAAGATGCCATGCCCTCCAACGATGCAGAGTGGAAGAACTGCATCCATGCGCTGGAAGCGGCAAAGAACCGGCTGTTCAATCGCAGCGGATACAGTCCGGCTCAAAGGCAACTGGGGCAGAACATTCGACTTCCTGCAAGCCTGGGATCTGATGACGTGTACGATCCAACGCTGGTGCTAGGAGCCGCAGGAGGAGACATGCAGCGACTGCTACATACACGGCAGTTAGCCATGGAAGCATTCATCAAGCACACCACCAGCACTGCAATACACCGAGCATCCCATGCCCGAAGCAGGACAGTGCAGAGCTTCTCACCAGGGGACATAGTATATGTCTACCGAGTTCCTCTGCAAAGAAAGCGAGCCAAGCATGATGACAGCTTCGAAGACAAGGAAGGAAGAAGGCCCACCTGGGTTGGACCAGGAACCATCGTGATGACTGAAGGAGGAAATGCCTGGCTGTCAATTCGTGGCGAGCTGTGGAAATGTGCCAAGGAACAGCTTCGAAAGGCCACAGAAGAAGAGTTGCAAGCCAAGGACCTCCTAGAAGATGAGTTTGAAGAACTCAAGAGGGGCCTGTCGCGGAAAGAAAGCAAAAGAGGCTTCAAGGATGTGACTCACTGGGAATTGCCTCCCATAGAAGATGATGAGCCTCCCTGGCAAAGGAGAAGGATCGACTCTCCAGCTCAGGAGACAGTTGAAGAAGAAGAAGAATATGAACCAACGTCACCTCCCTCGACAGCCTCGGCAGAGCCAGAAGAAGAAGCACCGGGAAGTCAACCAGTGCCGAGTGAGGTCATCAGCCAAGCAGTGAACTCGCATGCAAGATGCGAGGCTTTAGACGGCACTCTTCATGGAAGAACAGCCTCTCAGCTATATGGACCCAATCTGGCGTCTCGATGGGCACCATACCGTGGAGGAGTGGCAGTTCGAGGTGATGATGACGCTGAAGACGATCATGAAGGAGAAGACCGAACTGAGGACCTCTGGGTGTTCGACCCAGTTCGACAAAGCATCATTCGAAAGCACTTGAATGAGAGAGGCACCGAGTTTGTTCCCAGCAACACAAGAGGATGTCCAGTGCCTCTGAAGTTCCTGACCTCTCAACGGAACACAGTGAAGATTCTGCCGGATGGAGTGATGAAAATAGAGAAGTCCCACTGGAGGAATGAGGGGACCAAGCCCAAGAAGGAGATCACGCAATGGTGGACTGGCTACACCGAATTCAAGCTCCGGAAGATCCCCCATGAAGTAACGATGATGGTGAAAAGGGGATCGGATGAGGTCCGAGAGGAGGATATTCCCGAAGAAGAATGGGAACAGTGGAGGGTGTCCGACGGGGCGGAATGGAGCAAGGTTCATTCCACAGGAGCAGTGAAAGTCCTGTCAGAAGAAGAATCCCACTCAGTGGAACATCAACTGGCAGAAGCCGGACTCAGCGCTCGCATCCTGCCCTCTCGAATTGTAAGAAGATGGAAAAAGTCCGAACAGCCAGGTGAACCACCAACTAGGAAGAGCCGATGGTGCATCCGAGGAGACCAAGATCCCGACATCCTGGACCTACTACGACATGCTCCCACCATTACCACATCTACACTGTCAGTAGTGCTCCAGATTGGAACCAGTCAAGGTTGGAAAGCTGCAGTGGGAGACCTTCGAAATGCCTTCATGCAGTCAGACAAGCTGGAACGTACAGCAGGCAGGCTGTACTGTAGACAGCCCAAAGGAGGCCTTCCAGGACTCTCTCCTCACCAGCTCATTGAAGTCATTGCTGGAGTTTACGGGCTTGGCGATGCGCCAGCACACTGGAGAAGATCATTGAAGAAAGTGCTTTTCCAATTGGGATTTGTACAATCCGGGCTCGACCCTTGCGTGTACAAGCTCTTCAAAGGCAACCAGCTGGCCGGGCTCCTAGTAGTCGAGGTTGGTGATCTGTTTGGCATGGGCAATGAGGAGTTCTTTGAAGTCATGGAAGTGCTCCGAGGAAGATTTCAGTTCGGAAAGTTCGTCTTCCTCCAAGAACAGGTCAGTGGAGCCGCCTTCAATGGAAGAAGATTGAAACAACTTCCCAATGGGGAGATTCAAGTGGACATGGAGAAGTTTGTGAAGGAGAAGTTAGAGGAAGTCAAGCTGGACTCCGGAAGAGCAAGTCAGCCCAAATCCAAGGCAGACTCCGAAGAGAAAGACCGCACCAGAGCTGCAGTAGGCAGCCTCACTTGGGCTGCAAAGGAAGGACGACCAGATGCTGCTGCAATGGCTAGCCTCGTGGCCTCCTGTTTGAATGACCTGAAGATCCAAGACATCCTCGATCTGAACAAGGCCATCCGCAATGTGAGAAAGGAAGCCAGTCTGTGCATCAGGATTCAACCCATAGCTCCGGAGGACATTGCATGGGGAGTCTTCACTGACGCCAGTTACGCCAACGCCTCAAAGGGAAGATCCCAAGGAGCTTTTGCGGTAGTGGCCCTGGACAAGAAGACCCTGACAGAAGGCAAAGGTAAATGCAACTTGCTTCACTGGAGAAGCGGCAAAATCCATCGAGTGGTTAATTCCACTCTTGCTGCTGAAACCCAGGCACTCAGCCGTGGCATGTCAGAGCTCTCATGGACGGTCACCGTCTACAACGAATTCTCTCGACCCGACTTCAACATGAAGGAATGGGAGAAACACTTGAAAGACCGCAGCCTCCAAGCACTGGTAAGCCAGGAAAGCACAGAAGAGTTGAAAAGGGGGATCAAGAACGTCGGCATTGTTGACGCCAAATCCCTCTACGACCACTTGTCCAAGGAGGGCATCGGCGCGACCAGTGACAAGCGCACCGCGCTGGAGATGCAAGTGATTCGCCAAACACTGGCAGAAACGGGCTCCGAGGTTCGTTGGATTCCACATCCTAAGATGGTAGTGGATTGCCTTACCAAGAGGGAAGGAAATAGCTCTCCCCTCTACGAGCTTTTGCAAAGCGGTCAGCTGAACCTGTTTTTGGCCAAGAGAAATTTTCTAGGAGCTGTGGAAGTTGAGCATGTTGACCAAACCAAGGTTCAGTGA